CCTCTACTATATAAAGAGGAGTCCCCATCATTTGTAGGCATCTTACTGAGCAATCCAATATTCTCTCTTTAATTTACATTCCCTTGTTTATCAGTTCACTGCTTTTTAACTGTTCTTGCTCTACTAGCTCGAGGGTATTCCAACTCTAGGGCTCTGTTCAAACACTGGTTTGCTTTATATTATTGTCAATTTTCGTTACTTATCTTTACGTCTCTCAATTGGTATTAAATAAAATCACGTATTCTTAAAACCATATTATAAGTTTAATTGTTATCTAATTTCAGGGTAAACAAGTATATTTTTGTCATTGATAACTATTCACCACATGAATGTAGTGTGTTAGTTGTAAACTCCAGTCATTGCATTTGCCAATCTCCGAAATATAAAAATGCACAATTCACAATAAACACACAAATCCCCAAAACTTTTGGCGGGCGAAAGAAAATTTGCGGGGAATAGAGATTTTCGTATACATTAATTCGTAGACAGGCGATGAGAATTATTTTTTGTCCTGAATATGTCGGTAGTACCTAAGTGACGTCCAAGGCTGGATTAAAATGCACCAGATTTTGAGTAAACAAGGAGTACTTTTTATTATATTAGAAAACCACTATTTTCAAAATACCTTAAACACGATTCTCTACAAAAAAATTAAAAAAACTTTCCAAATACTACCTAAGTTGAGAGATAAAATAATAGATGCTAGAAAGAAAAATACATGAAAAAATGACAAGACAAAAATAAAAAGCAAAGGTTAATTTCGTGTTTAGGGAAATTCTGATATTCACATTACATCTTGTTTTTCAAGTTCTAATGCATGCGTATTAGGTTAAGAAATGATTAAGAAAATGGGGTTTACACTTGGGAATTGTCAATTGGTCAACTATTGTAATCTATCTATCTATTAAAGGAGAGTAGTATGCATTGTGGTTAAGCCAAGTGTCAAGCTAAAATGAATCCACTTGGCAATTTTAAGACAACATTAATAATTAAAAATTATAAATGGAAATATAATTAATGAAAGTAGTTGAATGAATCTTATACATAATATAAATAGATCTTAGACAAATCTAATATATATATATATATATATATATTGACCCACTCCTAGACTTTCTTCTATATTATCTAGAAATATGGAGGTAAAAAAATTAATTAAAAACTATAATATAAAAAAAATAAAAAATATAGAAAGATGTAAATTGAGATAACCTATGACTATTTATACTTTGGAGTAAGTTAAACTATAAAACAAAACTAACATTTACTTAAGATATTAAAGATTTATTGTCTTTAAAAATCAACAAATTTAAAATAATTTAAAACTTTCGAGCAATATTTTAAAACAAAACAAATATTTATTTTATGATTAAAAATTATATATTTATCTATATTATACTAGAGAATAGTAGTTAATAATGATATAAAATAAAGTTACAAGCTAATGAAAAGCCACATAAAATGTAATAAAACTACATATTAGATTAACAAAATAGCAAAATTAAAGTAAATTATTAATAATTTACTATTAAAAATGGAAGGGAAAGACTATTTTGATTTGATACTAGAAATTTCTTAAAGTTATGATGAGAATACTCAAACTATGGATAATACCATGAAATTGAAGGCTTATTCATGAAAAATAAAAAATTAATAAAAAAAAATTCAAAAATACAAAATAAATTTCTAATATTGCTAATTTCGTTAATAAAAATTAAAAATTAAATTTTTATCTTAAAACTAAAAACGAAAGAAATTTTACGTGAAGAAATAAAATGACAATGAAAATACTACTACAATATTTAAATATAATATGTTCAAACAATTAAAAAAATATTTTTATGATTAATATCTGAATTTAGTGCAGTTAGTTTAAGTTTGAAAGCATGACATAATTTGTTGAAACTACGGTGCACTTTAGAAAATAGAATGATAATAATAATTTGAATTTGAGATGAGATTTTTTTATTTCATATTTTTTCATTATTTTTGAAAATATTATGTAAATAAACAAAATTAAATTGAAAATATTAATATTTAGGTATAATGTGCTCAAAAAAATTAATAAAATATTTTCTATGATTAAAATAAAAATAAAAAAGCTAAATAAATTTTTTAATGTAGGTAATTTTGCTAACAAAAATTAAAAATTAAAAATTAAATTTGTATATTTCGAATTTATCTAATCAACTTCACAATAGACCACATAGCAATTTAGAACAAAGTTAGTTAGGTTAGGTAATAATTAGTTTTTTTTAATTTAAATTGTTTAAAATTTAAATTATGCATTATGATTGTTAATAATTAGTTACTTTCTTTGAGTTTTACAAATTTAGAGCTTTGAAATTATTTTAAAATAAAGAATAAATAGAAGAAAATAAAAAAAAAACTGTCAATTCAAATTTAGGAGCAGTTGCTTCCTAATATGGTAGATAATATCTATAAAAAGCCACCAAATATTTATGATAAAGAAAATAATTTGATTTTGAATTTATAGATAGAAATATCTGAGTTGAGATAAAACAAAAGTTCATTACTTATAGAAAATAATACAAAATAGTAATTATTAAAAATATCAATAAATATATGACAAAATAGTAAAATTACTTTTCTGTTTATATTTTAAAAAAATTCAAAATTATAATTTTATTTATATATGATAGTATCGTGATTATATGTAAACAACTTCACAATAGGCCACATATGGTAATTTAGGACAAAGTTAGTTAGATTAGGTAATAATTACTTTTTTAAAATTTAAATCATTAAAAATTTAAATTATGCATTATGTATAGTTTATAATTAGTTACTTTCTTTGAGTTTACAAATTTAAAGTTTTGAAATTATTTTAAAATAAAAAACGAAAAGAAGAAAATAAATTAAAACTATCAATTCAAATTTAGAAGCAGTTTCTCCTAATATGGTAGTTTATATTTATAAGAAACTGCCAAATATTTTTTTGATAAAGAAAATAATTTGATTTCGAATTTATAGATAGAAATATTTGAGTTGAGATAAAACAAAAGTTCATTTACTTATGAAAAATAATACAANAACCAATTTTTACAGGAACTGCCCAAATTAGTTCTTTAATATAACATACTACAACTTAGTCCCACATGCGTGGCCTATTTTTAATCCCCACAACATATTCAAACCCTTAACATCTTACATGAAATCATGGAAGAAGGACTTACCCGGATGGAGGAAAACCAAGTGGTTATCTTCCTTGATTCTTGAAAACTTGAGCAAGATTTGGGTGATTATGAAGATAGGCTCCTTCTCTCTCTTTCACTCTCTATCTGCTCTCAACTCTCTCTAAAATCAGTAGAAAATGACCCCTAATAAAATTTAAAATATTTTTTTGAGAAGTGATGTTGAAAATGATATTAAGCCAAGTGACACGCTAATAAATAGTAATATTAATAATTTAATAATATTAAATAATAAAAATTATAATAAAGAAAAATAAGAAATAAAAATATTATACGATGACTATATAATTCATTTTTCTTTAATTTCATATAGTTTAGTTAATGAAATATTGCATTGAGAAATAAGATGCCAATTGAAATTTTATTAAGGCAACATCATATTCTATACCTTTTATAATTAAGATAATTAGTATTTCTAATATTGACCGCGCGCGCTCTAATACTAGTTTTATATTAATAGTACTTTAGCTATATTAAATGGCCATCACATGATCCCACATGTACACTTGTCTCCCTAATCTATGCTGTTTAATGCAGTTTCGTTTCATTAATTGCTTCTTAAACAGTTAAATTAAAGTTTAAGATACTCGCTTAGTTGACTTCTCCAAAAAAACTTAAAAGATATAGGATATAATGATATACCACGAAAATTAAAAGAATATTATTAACATCAACTTTACAATCTAGCTGTACTAATTTTTTGTTTTAAGAAATGTGTTATCCTCGTACAGATGTCAGTAGGTGAATTAATAAGATGAAATAGATAAATAATACCCCAATAATCTGTGATGGGAGGTGATATTGTCAAATCCCAAATAGATTCATCAGATTGTTTTTATTTGAGGAATTTTCATAAAACACTGCAATTTAGCGTCTAATTATCATATGTAACTATAGTTTGTCTAATTACCATCCGTAACTACTGTTCAATTGATACCAATGAATACCACCAAAGCGAAATACAAAAAATACAGAAAATAAAATGCGCTCGTTTAGAGTCAAACTCAAGACCTCTTCTTACTAAGTGGGCGAGGCGCACTAACATTTTGAACTACGAGATCTTTGCTCCCTTATTTCAGTTCAAAACAATTGATCTCTTATTCCAACACTAAAAGTAAATATGCTATAAAATTCAAATATGGCTACAAATGGTAATTTTCTGAAAGTATAGATACGAATGCTAAATACACATTTACCATTATCTAACGTAAGTTTTCCTTCTTATTTTGACCTCTTATCTAACGTACCTAATTCTATAAAGAAGAGTAAGCAAATTGAGTTCAGAAAACACAAATTTAGATAAGGATAATTATCCGAGCAGAGAAAAAAATGTGAAATTATGAGAATAAGATGGTTCAATATAGATATACATTTTCTATCTCAGTAATATTTTATAGAGATACCATGGAATTTTATGTCTAGAAATTTTTGAAACTTTAAGTACGTCACATGAAACAAAGCTGTTTACTAAAAGTTGAGAGAAATATATAATCTTGTGGTTCAGACTTTAATGTTGATATACATTTTCTTTAGTTTGCTAAAACAACAATGCACCAGTGGTCTAGTGGTAGAATAGTACCCTGCCACGGTACAGACCCGGGTTCGATTCCCGGCTGGTGCATCAGGGGTATATTTTTTTTATATTTTCTTTTGGAGGCCAATTCACTCACCAAGATAAGAAGTTAAAACTTCTAAATCACTCAATGACCTGTAAGTGTCTGAAAAGATTAGGAGGTATCACATAAAGAATGTTTAGTACGATTTCTTCCTTTTTGCTCCCTTTTTCCCCATAAATCTTCAGTTGTTCACATGGTTTACCTTTGTGTACGCCTCCAATAAAGTTCTAAAATGTCCGAAGGAGCAGCAAAGGTTTGTATAGTATGAGAAACCTGAGAATCTAAGAGCAACAAATTTGTACAAGTAAACCTACTCTCTAAATATATTGAGTTTCCAGCCTCATTTGCTACACTAATCGAAGAGCTGCATCTGTTTTCCACACGTCTGTCCATGATTGCATCCATTTTTAGCAGCAATTATACAAAATGAAAGTAAACCTAAGACGCGAGTAGCTCCTACTAGTACAAACAAGATAGTAGGAAGGCGAAAGAACAGGAAGACGACTAACATGCCAAGCCATGAAGAGAATTGTCCCAACAGGATAGGATCCTTAGGACAAACATTCTTGTGGCAAACTTCAGCTGCAATATCTATGCCTTGAATGAAACGATGAATGAATTTTCATGATACATGGATCATGATACGGTGCTGCTTCCCGATTGTGATCGTGAATGTAAACAGTGTCTTACAGTTGAGAAGATGAGAGAAGGCTCCGCCATTGCTCCATTTCCATAATCTCCACAGGCTAGCCTCTTTGGTACCGGTGGTATAAGAGAGATGCCAAGCTCATCAATTATCATAAGGTGCCGCTCGGTGTATGGGTTATTCCACATAAATGTATTCATGGCTGGTGCCACAAAGAGGGGTTTATCATAGTCCCATGCTCGCACAATGCAGGTCAGCAAGTTATCACACAATCCACCAGCAATCTACAACACAAAAACAAATGTGAATATGTGTGCCAAAGAAACAAAAGGAGTAAGCTAATAACCCCAAACAACTGTATAACCAGGAGATACTGAATTCTTCAAATATTTTATTCTAATGTCATACAGTTCGGGATGTCTATTTTAAATGATTTTCTTTTATATTCATGATGTTTGGGCAAGATTGCGCACACCTCGACTAATTTCACAGGCTTGAACAGATGGGAAGAAATCACCAAGGGTTTTTGCCTCCGCTGGAATTTAATCCTGAGACCTCGTGGTTCTCAACCCATTTCATTGACCACTAGGCCACACCCTTAGGTGTGTCTGTTTTAAATGAATTTCCAGTCTTGTCACCAGAATTTTCCAGTTTCAGGATTGCTCATGGGCACACGAGTATTCAGAGAACCAAATTCCATGCTAACTTCAATAAGTGACCATTCCTCAGTCAATTATTGTCATTTTTGAACATTTAAGTTCATTCTGAACATTTATCTGAACTTGTAATACAACTACTACTAATAGTATAAGGAAATGAAATTCGTTTCCTGCAGTGGAACGTATCCAATATCATGAATAAATTTTATGAATAAGAAAATATAAAGAGATATCACCTTTCCAAGCGTATTTGCTGAGAGAGGGGCAATAACCATGATATCAGCCCATCTACGGAGCTCAATGTGTAACACGCTATCACCTACTTTCTTCCAAGTGGACCATTCATCGTCATCAGTATAAAGGACGACATCTTTTGGAAATGACACTTTGTCAATGAAATGAAGAGAAGCTTTTGTTGCAACTGCTTTGACTTCTGCCCATTTAGAAAAGCAATGACATAGATTTGCAAACTTGATTGTTGCCACGCTTCCACTTGCAGCTAGCAGAATCCGAGGTTTCCGTGAAGCATTGTTAACTTGAATTGGTTCGACCTCTGAAGTTATAGGCTCCATCTGTCTTACAAAATGCGAAACTTCGAATGACTTTTAAATTTGTATCAAGAGAAAGACACCTAAGAGAGATAGCAGTAGCAGAGAAGACGGAGATCACAAGCAAAATTTAAAAACCTTATAAATCTATATTTCCATTCATTCGAGATAGCTTTTCCATTTTCAATAGGGTTGATTACGATGCTAAGACTCCCTATAAGTAACCATATTTGCAAACAAAAACTCCATCCACAACAACAAGAAAAAGGACAGCTCTCTCCCTTTATGCAGAGATCCAAATCAAGTATATTCATTAGAGAAATAATATCTCAAAGAGCCAACTTTGCATACTAAAGCACCCATTCTTTATAAAAATGAAGGACATATAGGACATAGTCAAACTCGCCTTCTAGTATCACAAAGCAAAATTTTCAATTCTTCTGCAATGCCTCCGAGGTTCACATCAAAGTTCAAACGTCAATGTATACACAAATGAAATCCCATTCGTGGTTTAGTACCCTATTCCAAAATCCAACAAAATTACAAGGTAAAGTAGAGTCTAAATTTCGCATATAATTACTGAATTTTACCCACTATCCCATTAGCGCACAAAACTATTTCTCCAGTCACATTAAGTGACAAAAGCGTCTCTTAACACAAAGCTTGACTTCGATCAAATTTTTTTTTACTTAGACCTAGTGCATGCATCTAACTATATTAATTTACCAGAGTATGATCAATTGATATACTGAAGTAAAATTATACTACTCATTAAGTAACTAGATCAAATGATAGACCTTATGTATAAGACATAGGGGATGAACTTATTCATTTGATGCATGCACCGAGACTTCACAATCCATCTAGAATTATAACAATATATATAAAATTAAAAAATTAAGCACCACTCAGCCCTTAAAACAGAAAAAAATAGACTCAAAAAGTTTAAGGGAATCAGCTTGATACTATGGAAAACGGAAACAGAAAATACTGGGGAAAAATGCATAGTAAACTTACCACAGGTTCAGGTAGCCGGTAGGAAGTGCTCGGATCAATTTTGTAGTGTGAGAAGGGCGGGACAAACCAGTTAGGCAATTTGTGCTTATCCTAGCTTTTTCCCTGGGAGATTTGGAAGGAGAAAGGCTATATATGCTTCGGCAGCAAAAGCCAATTGTTGGACTCTATTTTGGGCCTCCATCTGTTGACCCAACAGTGAATCATTAAGAGAAACTTTCAAAAATCACTATATTTTAGTGATTATTAGCTAGTTGTAGCTACCATTTACTATATTATTTCCTATAGCTATGTTTTCAGATTTTTTAGAGTGTATTTGATGTATTTAAGCTACTGTATCCATGAATACAGTAGCATTTCTAGGCGTGAAACAGGGGATTACAGCTAGACAGATTTTTGTATTCGAGTGTATTCGACTATATTCATGGCGTGAAACATGGGATTACAGCTGGACAGGTTATTGTATTCGACTGTATTCACGGCGTGAAACAGGGATTACACTATTTTTAAACGGAAAGTGAATCAATTAACATAATAGACTCCTAATATAACTCAGCAAACTCAATTATAACACACAAATTTTGTATTTTCAGTTATAAAAAAGATTCTCAACTGAAAAACACCCCAAAAATATAGCAATCTTCAGAGTAATTATATAATACATCTGAATACAAAAATTATATTAATTACAAAAAAACATATGAATACATTCATGGAATATAGAGAGACAGTGAATACAATGAAATACATAGAATACAGCGGGATACATTAAAATACAATGAAAAAAAAAAGACAATGAATACAATGAAATACATAGAATATAGCGAGATACATTGAAATACAATGGAAAAAAAGACAATGAATACAATAAAATACATCGAGATACATTGAAATATATTAACAGAAAATTCAAGTTGCTCAGCCCCCAACTCCGTCGGCTTTGTTCAAGAAACAACCCTAATGTCGTCTCGCTGAAGTAGCATCAGTATCCAGTCCTCGCTCGCCGTCACCATTGCCTCCGGTTGCAGACGATTAGCACGTAATTACCGGATTAAAGACAAATCATGTGATGAAGGGGAGAAGAAGAAACTTAGAAGCCGCTCTAATAGACTGTCTCCATCGACGCCACTGTTCTTGTTACCATAATACCCTCACGTGCGCTTCAAAAAACCTATTCTTTACATTTGAATTTGACTGGCGCTTGTGGATTGGGACGGGAAACCCCAGATTGGGCAGAACTCTAGAACGACGAAGAGAAGAGGACACAACATAGCACATTGAGTTAATTCAACTTAATAGGCTGTAATAAATCATAAATTACAAATTAAATCATCACAGCTATGCCATTTTCAACGTCCACATGAGTCTGTTTAGGGTTGTAAGGGTATTTTGGTGGCCTTTTTTGGTTCTTGGCCGTATCAGATATTTAAGCTTTTTGATTTTTGTCCATAGTTGTTCTTCACTTCTTTCTCCATTCCATTCTTGCTGAAAAATTGCAGATTGAGAGTCAAAGCTGCCCGTTTCGATCTGTATTTGGGAGAATTGTGGTTGTTTTCATGGAGAATGACTAGAGTTGAAAGAGAGAGGATGGAGAAAAATCTCAAGGAATGAGAGAGAAAAATAATACAAGGCGTATTTTATGGCTTAAGAGTAGGAGGTGACCATAAATAGATATTTGGCTATAAAAATCAAAAGCTATCTATGGAATATAATTTTTTAAAAGAATATTTATTTAAAATAAATAAGGTATGAACCTTTGGTATAGGAGGTAACTATTCCAATTTGAACAACCTCTCAGGTGATTTGCACGAGAGAAAATGGCATGGCATGCCAACTCATAAAGAGAATTGGCAATTTTTAGCCTTCTTTTAGGGTTGGCACAGACACCCCCACAAAATTAGCATTATATAGGTAAATCCTAAAATATTTTACTTCTTTATTTATTCTCTCTCCATGTATCTCTTCTTCTCTCTCCCGTATCTCTTTTCTTTGCCCCGTAATCTTCTTAAAGTTGTATAGCACCATTATAGTCTGGATCAAGTAAAAAAAATAACATTAGTAGACGCACGAAAAACTCCATCAACCAACTATAAACAAATCACTCAGCAACCCATCAACCAGCATTAGATAAAATTTTGCGGTGATGACTTTTTTCGACAATTTTGAGAGGGTGTTTGGCTAAGTTTATAAGTTGATCTAATTTGCTTATAAGTACTTTTTGGCTTATCTACGCGTTTGGTAAAATTAAAAGTGCTTATAAGTTAAGTGCTTATAAGCCAAAAATAAGCCAAAAGCCATAAGTTGGTCTCCCCCAACTTATCAAATTTCAACTTATAAGAACTTTAGGTTTGACCAAAATATTTACTATTCTATCCCTAAAATACTTCTTTTTAGAATAAAACTTTTCGTATACACAGTTCTTCAGCTGCTTATTATTAATTTCAGCATTTTTATTCAAACACGTAACTCCTTATTTTATAAATCAGCTTCAGCACTTAAAAGTATTTTTCAGCACCTAATGCTTATCAGCTAATCTAAATCAGCTAAGCCAAACGGGCTCTGAGTCTGCCCAGTGATGACCATGATGGGTAAGGCAAAAATTGGATTATCACATAGAGAAATTGAAGGAGACAGTGGTGGAAGGTTCCTCCAGTGAATAGCCCATTTCCACGCCATTAACAACAAATCCATTTCAATTTAGGAATTTTTCTTCCAAATAAATTTTATATTTTATGCTTCAAAAGTATTTCAATTAAATAGAATTTGAAGGGATTCTTAGTTAGACCCGCATTAGCGTTCGCTGTCCCCCATCCCACCCCAATTCTTTTGAGAATTGATTTTATTCTAGGGAATTCTCATCTTGTATATCAGTGTATTTTTAGTATGTATTTTTATGTATATCCATAAGCAATTATGTATTATATAGTGAGATATACAAGGAAAGAAAATAAATTTTTAATATACATTTAAATATACACGAAGAATGAAAATAAAATTGTGATATACATTCTGGTATACACATTTTTAATGTGTTATACGCTATGATATATAAAAAATACAATTGTTTTTGTGTTATACACATGGATATATAGACAAAAATAAATTATAGACAACTATATTTATAATTTTATATTTTAGATATACCAAGAAGCAAAAAAAGTTATGATATAGATTTTAATACACGAGAAGAACGAAAACAAAATTGTGATATACATTTTAATAAACACGAAGAAAGAAAATAAAATTGTGATATACATGTTAACATACACAAACAAAGGAAAGAAAGTTGTGATATACATGTTGTTATACACATTATGTTATGATATATCTTTATTAGCTATCTGATGCCAATATCTATAATTAGAGTTTTTTCTGCTAATTATGAAGGTATGTTTTCACCCCATGCCAAAACTCCTTTGCACAAATTGGATCTTTCGGTGCCACCATTTAGATTTTGATCATGTTAAAAAGGTATTTAAAAAATAGCCTTCACGTCAGAATTTCTGGCCAAAAATCTTGGTGATCACCATAATATGCTTATAGTGATCATCAAGATTTTTGGCAAAAATCCTGGTGATCACCATAATATGCTTATAGCGATCATCAGTATTTTTGTCCAAATCCTGGTAATCACCATCTTCTCTAGAATTTGCAACAAATTTTAATCGATCACCAAAAAATTTCAGCATTCTGACTAAAATTCTGGTAAGCCTTAAAATTCATGGTGCTTCAAAAATTTGGTGCGGGTTTTTTTCCCTATTTTTTTCTTAATATGATCAAAATATAAACAGTGGTAAATATATCCATCCAACATAATTTCGCCCCTCTCATTCATATTTCATAGTACAATTTTGATTTATAAATGATTCCTCGCCAAACTTGAACAAGTGTGTGTTTATTTATTTACGAGTTCAAACATTGGTATAACCTAAAATAGCCCATCAAAAAGGCTTGATCAAGGTCTACATTATTATTAGTGAAATAGCATAGGATAGCCAGTGTTACGACCCAAATCAACCATGTCGTGATGGCGCCTAACGTGGAACTAGGCAAACCGACTCATTTATCAAAACAACCCGATATTTAAAAATAAAGATTTCTTTAAGCTATTTAATTAATAAAACTTCATAAGATAATTCTAAATAACAAGGTGCGTAATGAAAAGCCCGACATCGGGATGTCACAAGTCATGAGCATCTACCAAGAACTGTCTGATAAAAACTAAGACTAATACAGTTTGGAAAATAACTAATAATATCTAAAGGAAGATAGGAGGGAGAAAAGCAAGGCTGCGACCGCCATGCAACTACCTTGCTAACTCCACAAATCCGCGACGGGTGAAAATCAACGCTCGCTAGCACGTCCAACAACCCCTGGATCTGCACACAAGGTGCAGAAAGTAATGTGAGTACGCCAACTCAGTAAGTAATAAAGGTAAATAAAGACTGAGCAGTAGGAAACACATAAAATCCACATCATGAACTCTCAGTAAGTAAAACATGCTTTCAAATCAGTATATGAGTCAAATCATCTCGTTAAGATCCAGTTTTCGGTAAAAATTATTTGGAGATATATTTCTACGGTTTCAACAGAGACTCAATACAAATGAGAGTAAAAGTGATAAACATCATAAATAGCCCCTCGGGCACAACATCACTCAAAATCAGCCCCTCGGGCATATCTCATATCACTCACTCAGGGTACCCGCGCTCACTAGGGGTGTGCAGACTCCGGAGAGGATCCTACAGTCCAAGCGCTATAATTCGCACGGACAACTCACGTGCTGCACGGACAACTCACGTGCTATAATATCAATATCAGAATCCGCACGGACAACTCACGTGCTATACTCTCAATATCCTCACAATTACAGGCCCTCGGCCTCACTCAGTCATAAACCTCTCAAGCCTCTCGGGCTACCAGTAAAAACAGGGTGCTCAGCCAAAAATATTATTTTATGCATCAACGGGGTAATAAAGACTGAGTTATGAAATCAGTAAACACAGCATGACTGAGTATAGATCTTAAATTAAAACAGTGAGAGAATAATAAGAAAAGGCCCCTAAGGGTCCAAACAACTTTGGCACAAGGCCCCCAA